TCTCCTGCTTCTGCTCCCGGAAGCTGGACTAACAGGCGATGCACCACTTGCCTCAACCTGGCTAATTTGTTGTTATTTTTAGTTAGAGAGGGGATTTCACCCAGTTAGCAGGCTTGTTCTTGAACTTCTGACTTTAAGGTGATCCACTGCTGGGGCCTCCCAAAGTGGCTGGGATTAGGTGTGAGCCACCACACCTGCCATGTTCCACAGAACATGAAATGTTAAATCACATTTGGGTTCATTCTAAATCTATATGCACTAATTTATAATTTTTTTTTTCTTGAGATCGTTCTCCATATAGATTAACTTTTGATGGAAAAGGAAGTTTCGTCCCCTTTTAAGATTAGATAATAATTTCCTTTTATTTAAAACAGAATCAAGCCACGTAGAATCCTATCCCTTTAATAATCTCCCTTCCTCCTCCCTCCCTCCTCCCTCCTTCGCCTCCCTCCCTCCCTCCTCCCTCCTTCCTCTTTCCTTCTTTCTCTCTTTGACGGAATCTTAACTCTGTCCACCCAGGCTGGAGTGCAGTGGTGCACATCTCGGCTCCACTGAAGCCTTGACCTCCTGGGCTCAAACAATGTCCGCTTTGGCCTCCTGAGTAGCTGGAACCACAGGCACATACCACCACACGCCTAATTTCGTTTTTTAATAGAGGCCAGGTGCAGTGGCCTCATGCCTGTAATCCTGGCCAACTTTGGGAGGCTGAGGCAGGCGGATCACCTGAAGTAAGAAGTTCAAGAACAGCCTGGACAACATGGAGAAACCCATCCTCTACTAAAAATATAAAAATTAGCCAGGCATGGTGGCGGGCCACCTGTAATCCCAGCTACCCTGGGAGACTGAGGCACGAGAAATCCGTTGAAACCAGGAGGGGGGCTGCAGTGAGCTGGATTGCACACTGCACTCCAGCCTCGGCAACACAGCGAGACTCTATCTCAAAAAAAAAAAATATATTATTCTTATATATATATATAAAGGGAGAGAGAGAGAGAGAGAGAGAGAGACACGAAGTCTCACTATGTTGCCCTGGCTGGTCTTGAACTCCTGGGCTCCAGTAATCCTCCCACCTCAGCCTCCCTAAGTGCTGGAATTACAGGTGTGAGCCATTGCACCCAGCCTCCTTTCTTTGCTTCTGGTATCTGTGAGGAAGTGGGAGACCTTAGAGAAAAGTGGCATGATCTTTCTTAAATAAACTTCAGCTCCTAGCCGTTTCACCAGTTATGTTTTTATTTTATAAGTAATGAATTGCTCAGGATTTTGATTAGATTCTGCAAGTAATAATTTTGGATTGTAAGACAGCATCATATGGCATTTTCTAATGGTAGGACTACTTCTTAGTGGGAATAAAGAATGCCTGTTTTGGCCGGGCGCAGTGGCTCATGCCTGTAATCTGAGGACTTTGGGAGGCTGAGGTGGGTGGATCACCTGAGGCCAAGAGTTTGAGACCAGCCTGACCAATATGGTGAAATCCCATCTCTACCAAAAATACAAAAATTAGCAGGGCGTGGTAGCACGTGCCTGTAATCCCAGCTACTCGGGAGGCTGAGGCAGGAGGATCACTTGAACCTGGGAGGTGGAGGCTGCAGTGAGCCAATATCAGGCTACTGCACTCGACTGTGCGACAGAGCAAGACTCCGTCTCGAAAGAAAAAAAAAAAAAAAAGAATGCCTGTGTCTCAGAACAGGGGATTTGAAAGAAAAACATTAAAGAAAAATGTGACTATAAAACATCTCTATTACCAAGTCCTACCTACGTTACAGGACAACTGCTTATAGAAAATAGTGCTGCAGTCATCTCTGTGGTACTTGTGAGGAATCATCATAATTTCCTAAGATAGTATTTCTAGGTAATGTCTTATTTGCTGACAGACAAGGCTCAGGAACTGTCCCCAAGACTCATCAAAGCTAGTTTCCAGACAAATAGGGTCATGTTCTTTCCTAAAGGGGAAACTGGACTGGAATGAGACTGTCATTCAGCTGAAATCACCAATAGCACTCCTGCTACAAAAGCCAAGTTTTCTAGAGCTCAGGGTCTCAGCTCTGCTATAAAGCCTTCCCACAGCGGCTGCCTCAGATACCTTCCAAAATATGGGTACACCCCAAATTCAAGGACTGTTATCACTTACCATCCTCTATCCGGTCAGTACCCATCCTCCTGAGCTCATTGTGATCCATGTACTTCGATAAAAGGCCTAAAGGCAGGATAAAGTCAATGAGTACTGTGATCTGGCTTTTGCTCTGGGAAATGAATATCTAAAAGTTTTTATCATTAAGACATCTAAGCAGCTGGTGGAATCGGCCTTCTGATAATTAGGCAGATGCCAAAAACTGGGCTTCCACGTGCCTGGTAGTTACCTATAGGTAGCAGAGCCCCTTTTTCCAAGGTCATCTTCATAAAGAATGGGGATACTTGGCCGTGTGCAGTGACTCACAGCCGGGTACGGTGACTAACGCCTGTAATCCCAGCACTTTGGGAGGCTGAGGCGGGAAGACTGCTTGAGCCCAGGAGTTTAAGACCAGTCTGGGCAATGTAGCAAGACCTTGTCTCTTAAAAAAAAAAAAAAAAAAAAAAATTGGCTGCACATGGTGGCACATGCCTATAGTCCCAGCTACTCAAGAGGCTGAGGGAGGTAGGAGGATTGCTTGAGCCCAGGATGTTGAGGCTGCAGCGAGCCATGATCGTGCCACTGTGCTTCAACTTGGGCAACAAAGTGAGACCTTGTCTCAAACCACCACCCCTGCCCACACATATAAAACCCTCACACCATACATACATAAAAATGGGGATACTGACTGGGTGTGGTGGCTTACGCTTGTAATCCCAGCACTTTGGGAAGCTGAGGCGAGTGGATCACCTGAGGTCAGGAGTTCGAGACCAGCCTGGCCAACATGGTGATACCCCGTCTCTACTAAAAGTTACAAAAATTAGCAGGGTATAGTGGCAGGCAGCTGAATCCCAGCTACTTGGGAGGCAAAGGCAGGAGAATTGTTTGAACCCAGGAGGCAGAGGTTGCAGTGAGCTGAGATCAAGCCATTGCACTCAAACCTGGGGGACAAGAGCAAGACTTTTCTCAAAAATAAAAATAATAATAATAATAAAATTAGCCAGGTGTGGTGGCAGGTGCCTGTAATCCCAGCTACTCAGGAGGCTGAGGCAGGAGAATCACATGAATCCGGAAGATGGAGGTGGCAGTGAACTGAGATTACACTACTTCACTCCAACCTGGGTGACAGAGTGAGACTCCTCAAAAAAAAAAAAAAAAAAAGAGAGAAAGAAAGGAAGAAGGAAAAGAAAAAAAGAAGAGATGCTTGCCAACACAATTTGGGAAAGTATAGGACAAAAGTGACTATAGGAATGAAAGGGCGTTCTTTGTACCTACAAACAAGACTGCTGATCTTCTGATGGGAAGTTTTGGATTCTTGGAGTATATCAGTGTTTGTTCTAGGATGTTAATTTTCCCCTTGCACTTTTTTTCCTAAGTGGGGAAAAAATAAGTATAAAGTAATGAAGCAGCAGCACTCTTTTGATCAGACTTACCATAGTTTCTGGGGTCAGAGACTCTATCAGAAAGAGTACAGTAGTGTTTGAAATAACTACAGTTGCTGAATGAGTATTATACCAGAATAACAAGCCCCTAGACCAAGTTATTCTAAATCCTGTGAATGTCCCTTGCTTGCACCCACTCATGCCATATATTGTGCCTGCAATGTTTCTAAAGCCATCTTGGCTTCTCTGTATTTAAGTCTTGTTCTTTAAGTTTCACCTTGAGTTCTGCCTCCCTATGAGCTTGTCCCTGACTGCTTGCCTGCCTGACCTAACCCTGCTCTGAGCATTTTGCAGGTATTCCTCTCCTGGCACGCACTTTTTTACATCGAGGTTTTATCTCCCTTGCTAGCTTGCAGGCTCCCTTCAGGAAGTTTTTTTTTTTTTTTTTTTTTTTCTTCAGAATGAGCCTCGTTCTGTTACCCAGGCTGGAGTGCAGTGGCGCAGTCTTGGCTCACTGCAACCTCCACTTCCCGGGTTCAAGCGATTCTCCTGCCTCAGCCTCCCGAGTAGCTGGGACTATAGGTGCCCGCTCCCAAGCCCAGCTAATTTTCTTTTTTGTATTTTTGGTAGAGATAGGGTTTCACCATATTGGCCAGGCTGGTCTCGAATTCCTGACCTTGTGATCCGCCTGCCTCGGCCTCCCAAAGTGCTGGGATTACAGGCGTGAGCCACTGCACCTGGCCCCCTCAGAAAGTTTTAATCCTCGGGTTCTCTATGGCCTGTCATGGCTTTTGGGTGAATGAAGGCACCTCTCAGTGGATCTTGTATAGGGACGGCACCTCAAGAATAGGAGGGGGAGGCTGGGTGCGGTGGCTCATGCCTGTAATCCCAGCACTTTAGGAGGTAGAGCTGTGTGGATCACCTGAGGTCAAGAGTTCCAGACCAGCCTGGCCAACATGGCAAAACCCCAGCTCTACTAAAAAAATACAAAACTTAGCCAGACATGGTGGTGTGGGCCTGTAATCCCAGCTACTTGGGAGGCCAAGGCCTGGGCAACTGAGTGAGACTCTGTTTCAAAAAAAAAAAAAAAATAGGAGGGGGAAAATAGGATTTATTTTGATAGAACTTATGGCATAATTAACATGGACAACTTGTAGTTGACAGCACCAAATTTTCTTCTGTAAATGCTGTCATCAGTGCATCAGCTATAGGTTTGGGTGCAGATCAGACAGATAATCCCCGACACAAGGGCACTGCAAGTCTGATCAGAGTAAGCTTCTGTGGGTCCTAAAGAGGTGGTACATATGGGAGACTCCTGGGAATAGTCAGTCATTCCTAGGGTCTGCTAGGTGGTTCTAGGGTCAGCTTCTAGAAAACCATGGATGGGCTTGTGGAGGCTGCCCGGGCTCAAGCTTGACCCTGAGATCAGCCACAGTAGCTTCTGTGGAGTTCATGAAGATAAATGACACCATCTGGGTCCTGGCAGAACAAGTGGCATGCTGCCATCATGCTGCATGGCCACACTGCACCACAGCCCTTGCTTGGGACTCCCTGGACATGCCCTGATGGACAGTAAAACAATCCGTTCTAGTCAAGGAAAGGATTCAAGATAGTTACAAAAGCAATATATAACTCCATTTCAATTCAGTCCATAAGTAACTTTTTCAGCATCAACCTGACCTTGTAGCCTCTGACCCATGTTAGAAGGGCTCCAAAGAGTCCACCAGTCTTTTCGTTACTAAGGGTAGCAATCGAAATTAAATTTGTGACTCAGTTGGGAGGGAACTATAGAAACAGATCCACAATAAAAAACAGGTCATAGGCCGGGCGTGGTGGCTCACGCATGTAATCCCAGCACTTTGGGAGGCCGAGGCGAGGAGATCACAAGGTCAGGAGATTGAGACCATCCTGGCTAACATAGTGAAACCCCATCTCTACTAAAAATACAAAAAATTAGCTGGGCACGGTGGCGGGCGCCTGTAGTCCCAGATACTCAGGAGGCTGAGGCAGGAGAATGGCGTGAACCCGGGAGGCGGAGCTTGCAGTGAGCTGAGATCACGCCACTGCACTCAGCCTGGGCGACAGAGCGAGACTCCGTCTCAAAAAAAAAAAAAAAAAAAAAAAAACCAAAAAACTGCTCATAGATATCAACTGCTGATGTGAAAAGAAATGGGAAATATTTATTGTATGCCATGTTCTGTCATTAAACAGTGTGTCAGAAGAAAATAGGTCTCTCAGTATGTTAAAGAGTTAACAAAGCCATTATTGCTCACATACAAAGAATCTGCAGATTGTTCCTGCTTCAGTAGGTCTGATGTGCCAGGGATCTTTAGAGTACACTTCTTGGGGCAGCTTCCACTTCAGGAACTGGGCACATATAGTTAGGACTCGCTTGCTCTCCTGTGAAAGAGATGATCATAGATCAGCATTTTCAAACATTTTTATTTTTTTGAGACGGAATCTCGTGCTGTTGCCCAGGCTGGAGTGCAGTGGTGCGATCTTGGCTCACTACAACCTCTGCTTCACGGGTTTAAGCAATTCTCCTGCCTCAGCCTCCCAACTAGCTGGGATTACAGGTGTGTGCCACCACACCCAGCTAATTTTTTGTATTTTTAGATAGAGACAGGGTTTTGTCATGTTGGCCAGGCTGGTCTTGAACTACTGACCTTGGGTGATCCACCCACCCTGGCATCCCAAAGTGCTGGGATTACAAGCGTGAATCACCATGCCTAGCCTCATTTTTAAACAGAGGTAATCTTTCTTCAATAAAACTAGTACTAAAGTGCAATATGAAAAGCTGATAAAAGAGAGGAGAAGGGCAGAAAGGAACTAGAATCCTGCCCTCCTCCTCCTCCTCCAACTTCCCCAAATAGTCCTTACATGGAATCCACAAAAACCCTAGGGTTCTGGGGAGGATGTAGAAACCACTGGTGCTGGGCAAAAGTGACAGCTTGCAGATGCAATCCCTAGACCAGAGGTTTGGGCAGGAGTTCCCATTACCGTGTGCCCTAGAGATGAAGAGCCCACCTCCACTTAACTGTTTCTATGCCATTTTTCTGTCACTCTACAAAGGAAGTGCAGCTCCTGACTTCTGTCCTTGTGGCATCTCTGGGTTGGAAGGAAGGAATTCCAGAGGACTGATCTCTTCCTGATCCACATCCTTGAGCAAAATTTAGCAAGTTCGTTGTTCTCAGAATGCCACCCATGCACCATGCAACACCTCTGATGAATCTCCAAGCCAGTATTTTATCTCAGGTCCACTAGATGTTTGGGCCATAAGAATTCCTTTGGCTACTGATGGGCATATAAATTACTTCAGCCACTATATTTAGTGATTTATAAATATCTAATAAAAAGTTAAAGACACCTAGATACTCTACTTCTGGGTTTATGCCCTCAAGAAACTCTCATATGCATGCACAAGGAAATAGGTAAAATAATTGCAGCACTGTAATAATGAAAAATTGAAATGTCAGGCCAGGCGCGGTGGCTCAGGCTTGTAATCCCAGCACTTTGGGAGGCCAAGGCAGGTGGATCACTTGAGGTCAGGAGTTTGAGACCAGCCTGGCCAACATGGCGAAACCCCATCTCTACTAAAAATACAAAAATTAGCCAGGCATGGTCGTGGGCAGCTGTAAGCCCAGCTACCTGGGAGGCTGAGGCAGGAGAACTGCTTGAACCCAGGAGGTGGAGGTTGCAGTGAGCTGAGATCACACCACTGCACTCCAGCCTGGGTGACAGAGACCCTGTCTCAAAAATATATACACACACACACACATATACACACACACACACATATATACACACACACACATATACACACACACACATACATATATACACACACATATACATATATATAAATATATATATATAAATTTATATATATATATAAATGCTTCTTTTCTTTGCAGCGTTGGCTCTGGATTTGAAGTTATTGAGGGATGAGAGACCCCAACAGTAGGCATTACCTCAGCTACTGCATCATTTTCATCCTGAGAATACAGAAGTAGTGGGACCAAGCTGTCCAGGACTTGTTTCTCTACACTCTTCTTATCTGGGTTTTTTACAGACTTTATGGCGGCTCCAAAGAGAGTCATGGAGAAACGATGAACGTCAGGTCTCACCTAGGAAGGGAGTAGACAAAGGGAAGCAACTCACTGAATGTGTGCATGCTTAGCTTGTAAGAACTTGGGAGGGGGTGAAAAGCCAGTCCTGGTATGACGCTATTTAGCTGTATGTAGCTGAGGGCAAGAAATAAAATATACGTGCACACAGGCCAGGCGCAGTGGCTCACGCCTGTAATCCCAGCACTTTGGGAGGCTGAGGTGGGCAGATCACTTGAGGTCAGGAGTGCAAGACCAGCCTGGCCAATATGGGGAAACCCCGTCTCCACTAAAAATACAAAAGTTAGCCGGGCGTGGTGACACATGCCTGTAGTCCCAGCTACTCGGGAGGCTGAGGCAGGAGAATCACTTGAGGTCAGGAGTTTGAGCTACCTGGGAGGCGGAGGTTGCAGTGGGCCAAGATCACACCACTGCACTCCAGCCTGGGCAACAGAGCAAGCCTCCATCTCCCTCCCTCTCATATATATATGGACACAGTAAGACTTGCTGCTTTGGCACTACTTGTTTTCTCACTCTACAAGTGAGAGATGCACACAGTCTCACCTGTAGTCAGCAAACCTTGTGCCTGGTACAGGCAGGAACCATTCACACAGGCTGTTTTGCGGAAATCTGAAATCCCAGCCTTGGTATGTTTTACTCTTCCAAGGATGCTGGTCACTGTGCTCCATGTATTTCCTCTTGAGAAATATATGGGATTTGGGACAGGGATATAAATATCATCCACCATCTTGACCCAGTTCTGATAGTTCTTGAAGGGAAAGACAATGTTTTCCCCTTCCCCATCACAAAGCAGGGTAGTACCTTAGCAAGTTTCTAGGTTCAGTTTTTTGTTGTTGTGGTGATTGTTAAATCTGAAAAACAATAACATCTGCCCTATCAACATCACAGGTTACCTGGAAGGGTCTTAAGAGAGCAGGTTTGAAATGCTCTGAAAGTAAAAGTCCTACACCTAGTAGAGTTTATTTATTACTGTACCAACTTCTGTTTGCTGTTATGCCCATTACTCTCCTCCTAGGAAAGTCTCTCCTCTCTGATTATCTTACATCACCAAATAAGGAGAACAGAGTCCTCATCATGGCAGCCAGGGTAGTGAAATCCATTGTTCTAACAAGTTGCAGGAGTATCTGGATGGCTGACAGAACGATCTTCTTATCGGTTTCACGCAAGCTGTCTACGATGTACGGCAACAGGCTCTTGATGTCTTCTCTCTGTGTGGCCAAAGGGAGCACATCAGCTTTTCTCCTGATCGCACGTCACCTGGTACCAAAGGGGGTGCTCCCCATCTTTACTTAGCACCTAGTGCTCACTGATTTTTGTTAGGGCTGGCAGATCCAGAAGGGAGAAGAAGGGGATATGATGGCCCTCTCTCAGTACTGGCAGGTCTGATACGTAGAGGTGGGGCAGAGCTGCTTTGAGTTGCCTCAAGGGCAAAAGTGGGACCAGGCAGGGAAGGTCTAGGGCTATGGGCTTGGGCTAACTGTAAGGAAGAGCTCTGCTAACAAGGGAAAGTGGAACAGGTAGCTCAGGCCACGGTGAGCTCCCAAACACACAAGGTATCCAAACAGAGGCTCAAAGATCCTGATATGGTTTGGCTCTGTGTCCCCACCTAAATTTCATCTTGAATGATAATTCCCACATGTAGAGGGAGGGACTTGGTGGGAAGTGATTGGCTCATGAGGGTGGCTTCCCCCACGCTGTTCTCATGATAGTGAGGGAGGTCTCAGGAGATCTGATGGTTTTAAAGTGGCAGTTTTGGCTGGGCGCGGTGGCTCATGCCTGTAATCCCAGCACTTTGGGAGGCCAAGGCAGGTGAATCACTTGAGATCAGGAGTTCGAGACCATTCTGGCAATATGGCGAAACCCCATCTCTACTAAAAATACAAAAATTAGGCCTGGAGCGGTGGCTCACATCTGTGATCCCAGCACTTTGGGAAGCCGAGGCGGGTGAATCACCTGAGGTCAGGAGTTGCCTAACCAACATGGCAAAACCCTGTCTCTACTAAAAATACAAAAATTAGCCAGGCATGGTAGCACATACTTGTAATCCCAGGTACTCAGGAGGCTGAGACAGGAGAATTGCTTGAACCCGGCAGACGAAGGTTGCAGTGAGCCGAGATCGTACCATTGCACTCCAGCCTGGGTAACAAGAGCAAAACTCTGTCTCCAAAAAAAGAAAGAAAAAAAAAAAAAAGCCTGGCATGGTGGTGCGTGCCTGTGGTCCCAGCTACTCAGGAGGCTGAGGCAGGAGAATTGCTTAGCTTGAACTCAGATGGCGGAGGTTGCAGTGAACCGAGATCACACCACTGCACTCCACCCTAGGTGACACAGCGAGACTCGGTCTCAAAAAAAATAAAATAAAATAAAAGTAGCAGTTTCCCCTGCTTTCTGTCTCTCTCCCGCTCTGCTGTTGTGAAGATGTATCTGCTTCCCCTTTGCCTTCCGCCATGATTGTAAGTTTCCTGAGGCCTCCCTAGCCGTGCGGAATTGAGAGTCTAGTAAACCTCCTTTGTTTATAAATTACCCAGTCTCAGGGAGTATCTTTATAGCAGTGTGAAAACAGATCCCCGGGCAGGAATTCAAGCAGAATTTGACTGAGGACTTAAGGGTTCTTCTCATTCTGAAAAGGGATTCTGCTCTTCTGAAACTACTGAAAGCAAGCAGTCTCAGGGTTGTAAAGTTTAAACATACACATGAAAAAGTAAGTAGAATATAAACACAAGTTAGGAAGTCAATTTTTTAAAAAAAGAAAAAGTAAGTAGAATAAAGCAATAGATATTAATGTATCCAATCAACCAGAATTAACATACATTGACATTTGTCATTTTTGCTTCAGAAACACATTTTTTTTTTAAGACAGGGTGTCGCTCTGTCATTCAGGCTGGAGTGCAGTGGTGCGATCTTGGCTCACTACAACCTCTGCTTCACG